ACATCGAGAGGAACACTTGCATCATTACTTGATCAGGAATCGCCGAGGCATACATATAAAGACGCAGCGGGGTCTTTCTTGATCCCGGTCACATCACGATCGAGCGTGGCCCAACCCCTCACACATCATCACCCTGATCCTGCTTCCGAGTCAACCCCAACTTCACCTCCAAACCTCGTGTTCAGTCAACAACACCCGTGTCACAGCCAGCCATGTCAAACACAGCCAACAAGCCGGCCCCCGGGGTCAGCTTCTATACCCCCGCGCAACAGCCCCCGGCGGGTACCCCCGTCGATGCTGCATCCGCCCCGACTCTTTTCACGCCCCTCCGTATCCGCGATGTCGAACTGACCAACCGCTTCATCGTGTCGCCCATGTGCCAGTACTCGGCCGACCAGGGCCACTTGACCGACTGGCACCTCGTTCACCTCGGCCAGTTCGCTGTCTCTGGCGCCGCCCTGACCATCGTCGAGGCCACCGCCGTCGAGGCTCGCGGCCGCATCTCTCCAGAAGACTCGGGCCTCTGGCAAGACTCGCAGATTGCGCCCCTCAAGCGAATTGTCGAATTCATCCACTCTCAAGGCCAAAAGGCCGGTATCCAACTCGGCCACGCTGGCCGCAAGGCGAGCAACCTCGCCCCCTGGCTTAGCGAGCCCGGCCAGCGCGTCCACGCAACCGCCGAGGAGGGCGGATGGCCTGACGATGTTGTTGGACCCTCTGCCATCCCCTTTGCTGAGGGCTGGTACAAGCCAAAGGCTCTGACGGTCGCCGAGATCAAGGCCCTTGTCGAGGCTTTTGCTGAGTCCGCCCGCCGCGCTGTCGAGGCCGGCTTCGACGTCATCGAAATCCACGGCGCCCATGGCTATCTCCTCACCGAGTTCATGAGCCCCCTGTCCAATACCCGCACTGACGACTACGGCGGCAGCTTTGAGAACCGCATCCGTCTGCTGCTTGAGGTGATTAAGGCCATTCGTGCTGTCATCCCAGAAGGCATGCCGCTGTTTGTCCGCATCTCGGCTACCGAGTGGATGGAGCACTCGGTCGATGCCTCGGCAACGGAGCAGACTTGGGATCTCGAGCAGTCCATCCGCCTGGCCAAGCTCCTCCCCGCCCTGGGCGTCGACCTCCTTGACGTTTCCTCTGGTGGAAACAACTCGGCTCAGAAGATTGAGCTCCACAAGTACTACCAGGTCTCCCTCGCCGGGCAAATCCGCGAAGCCCTCCTGAAGGATGGCAAGCAGCTCCTGATTGGCGCCGTCGGCATGATCTCCGAGGCCGAGATGGCCAGGAGCATTGTTCAGGGGGCCGATGGCGCAGCAAGGCCAAAGACGGTCGAGATTGACGAGGAGCATGGCCAGAAGACACAGGCCGATGCTGTTCTTGTGGCCAGGGAGTTCCTGAGAGATCCGCACTTTGTCCTCAACGTCGCAAAGGAACTCAACGTGCCGATTAAGTGGCCTCATCAGTACGAGAGGGCACCCAGAAAGACGCACGGCAAGCTGTGAGGGACACTGGGAAGGAACTGTGGTAGGCCTTCTGCAGCATAGCGAACTACCTCCTAGACCATTGAATGACGATCATACGAACCCTTAACCTAGAGCTATCCAGCCCGTTGTTGCCCCTATCCTGACTCCATCGTCCCCTGCGGACGAAACAAGTGATGCATGAAATTAACGCTGTCAAAATGACTACACTTTGTAATGCCTCTAATAGGGGTAGTCGTTTGCATCCAGCACGCCCCCTATACCCGCAGCTCGACGGCAATTTTGTCCCCCTTTCGGATGGCAACGTTGCGCTGGCGACTGATCTCACTCTCAACCAGGGACCGGATGAGTTGGATCGTCAACTCCCTGCCCTTGGCAACGGCCGCATCGCTGGCGTTGGATGGCACGTGCAGGAAGATGGCCCGCTGCTTTTCACCGCGCTTGTACAGGTAAGCAAGGCTGGAGAAGTAGATGAAATCGCACAGGTATCGGCCTGCGTCCTCGGAAATCCTAAGGTCCGAGTCGGCCTGGCAGGGTCAGTCAGTCAGTTTGTCCAACTACCGGCGGGGATCAGGGGGGGCTGGCAGGGAACGCACCGGGCTGTGTTTCTTCCACCGGTCAAGAACGTCACCGACGTCAAAAGCCGTTTCGAGCTCCTTTGGCACGCCGGACCAGATCCACTCATCGCCCTGGCGGCGGCGACGCTCCTCATCCAGGAGACGTTCGCCATCGACGTCGGGCATGGTGTACCCGTCGCGATGGGCGCGGTGCTCGATGGAGTAGTACAGCCTGGGATCGGCCATGCCAATGTGAATACACACGTCAATCTTGGCTGGCTTCTCGCGCAGACTGCCGCTGTCGGGGCCGGCGTCGGCATCGACGTTGGTGGCGTTGCCGTCGGCGCCATCCGTGGTCTCCAGCGGCGGCGCTTCGTCGAAGCTGTCGCGCGTCTGCCACAGCTTTGGAACCAGCTTGCGCACAGTCTGGTAGTTCACGCGGACTGCCTCGGGGTGGACGAGGATGCGGACGCGGGGCAGGGCGGGCGCGGAGGTGGAGGGTTCCGATGACGATGGGACGGCGGCGGGGAGGTAAGCCGGTAGACGGCTGGCGATCTCCCAGGCCGGGTTGACAGGGTATGCCGTCTTGAAAGGCTGTGAGGGTGTCAGCTTGGGAGCAAAGAATGAAGCGATAAGGGGTTGCCGGGGGCAAAGCTGAAGCTTGGAGTGCCCCCTGGCCGAGCCGGACCGGTTCGTGCCATCATGATCGCCGCCGGGGAGTGAGAGTGTTCTGGTCATTCCTGGGGGGGCCTTGGGGCGTCGATCAGGGCAGGACAAACGTACAGCGAAACCGGTGACGAGCACCGTGAACTCATCCTCCGTCTCAGCTTGAGAACCCATGTTGCGTTTCTGGACCGGGGGTGTTGTAGAGGGGCGAAGTGGCCGTGGGAGAACGAGGGGAGAATTGGCGCTTCAAAAGGACGATGGGGTCGGATGGTGTGCTGAAGTAGGACAACAGTCTGTCTTAATTAGCAGCAGACCGGCCCCCCTGATTTTATGGTGAGTGAGACTTTAGAGGCCAACCGCCTCAGGGAGCGCCACTCTTAAGCTGGCGTCGATGACTCTCAAACTACACGTAATGGGACTTGGAGGACCTTTTTGTAAAAATTGAAGAACTCCCGGGTCGGGCTTGGTCTGGGACGCGGATGAGAGCTGGTCAGCTGGAGTCGATCTGATCTGAGACTCGACTCAGGCTTGAGCTTGGGTTCCGGCGGGGTGTCTCCCGTTGGGCGGGGTAGCACTTGGTCGTGCCTCGAGGTACTCCTCTATCTCGGCCCACCATCAAGGTACCGGTACCGTGGCTTGCATTTCTGAGGTGGCAGGGGTAGACGGATGCTGGAAGGGTACAACTTGAAACGGGCGGATGCGGGTGCGGGGGAACCAACTGAATGTCATTCATCACCACTGCACCTCGGTCTCGGCCTCGAAAGCCGGTCAACACTTGCTGCAGCCGTTGCCCAAATCGTCCATGTCTAACAGCCGTTCGGTCAATCGGACCCGAAGATTTTAGGGGACGGAAGCTGCAAGTGGTGTGTCATTCTTATCCTGTGCAACGTCAAAGTAACCCCCCCTCACGCCGCCCGAGGCTCGTCCAGGATTCGAAGACCACCTGTATCGTCATACTCGACCCGGTGCTCGTTCACGGCGGCCGCCATCTCCGGCCGAAGGGCCGACTTCTCTCCTGTGACCGGGTCCCATTCCCAGCCTTCCTTCATCCACATCCACCGCAGGCAGGCCCGGAGCTCCTTGTCGTTGGGTCGCGTCCGCATCCATTCGGGCTGGAACTCGGGCGGCGCACCTTTGCCGTTCCAATCTTGGGCCCGGCCGAGGAGCTCGTCTCGACAGAAGATCCTCCAGCTGTCGAGGGCGTACTTTCCCCGTGTTAGGTGTCCAATTTCCCACTCTTCGTCTGGTTCCTCGGCGGCCGATGCCTCTTGTCCCGTGTCCAGTCCGCCATCTGCGTCCCGTTTGTCATAGCCCTTGACCCGGTGCCTCACCCCTGGGGTTGGTGGGTTCTCGATCCAGCCCTTGGCGTACTTCTGCATCATGGTCGTTCGGTTCGAGACCAGGCCGAGATGCTGTATCATTTCCTTCAGCTCAGGCTCGGATGCTGGGTCGGCAAGGTGCGTTGGCGTGGGGAATCGCTCCCTCACTGCGTAGAATACCGGGATCGCGAGCTTGCCCGACGTTTTGATGAGAAATGTGACGGCTATGAGCAGCCAGAAGGGTTCATGGCATAGGGTCTCCTGGATCAAGCTGAAGCATGGTGCGTCCAGTGAAGGAAACGGAATTGACGAAACTGTGCCGGCTAGTCTGTTGATCTTGATCGGTGAGACTGCAGCAGGCTCGACAAAAAATGGCGATTTGACAGGACTTCGTGACTGAGGGCGGGTGTTGGCCCGGGATGGAGAGTCCAATTTGATGGGCCGCATAGGGACATCTTGTGCGTCCAAGACCTGGGCCACAGGACTAGACATCTTTGGCTGGTTGTGCCTCAATTTCGCCCTCTTTGGTGACGGGCCTCCATCATGGTCTGGTCGCACCTCGACGCTTGGAGGCAATGATATCGGCGTCAGGTGCCTTGGGATGTTTCGAGCCTTTCGACTGCGTGGCACTGTAGCCTTGGCTGTCGCCTTGGGACGAGACCTTCGCGACTCTGACGAAGCGGCTGGGTCGATTTGATTGTCCGAGTCCGCCCCTTCCTCGCCATCCGCCCAAAAATGCGACATCGAAAGCTTGGACAAAGGTCGAAACCAAGACTCGGTTGGTATGGCCTCAGAACGAGGATGTGCCTGGACCGAGCAGATGAGCCACAGCACATCAATGAAGACTCACTAAATTCTCGGGAACTCGGTAGGGAAAAGTAATCAATCGCGATCTTATGATAATAAAGTTGATAGCTGAAGGATGTATCTAGAAAAAAGGGCAAAAAGCCGCTTGTGATGATTGCGGAACTGATTGTCACGGACGCGATTTGAACGCGCGCGGATCTCTCCAACAGAAGCACTCTAAATGAGGGCCAAGAACCAAATTCTTGAGTCTGCCGCCTTAACCACTCGGCCACCGTGACTGGGATAAAATTATTGGAGAGATTGTGGAGCCATACCCTCGTACTTAGTCGTACTTTTGGTACGAGTGGGTCGTACCTGTTCAACGAGGACGAGGCTACTACGACCTGCTTAATGATTCAACAGCACACGGGCACCTTCAATTCACGGGACATATATTACTTTTTCGTCTTTTGACTTGCGGTGCCTCGGCGAAGGTTTGTTGGCCGGCCTTTGGGTTCTGAAGAACGGCTGGGACGTGATTTCATTCGTTGACATACCGCTTCGCAACAAGTCGAGATGCCGACCCATGCGCAAAATACTTTGCACCACATTCAAATTGGCGTAAAGGTCTGTCTGGGCTGACGGACGGTGCATTCGCTGGAAGTACGGTTCATTTAACACACTCCCAAGATGGACCGTCGTCGTTAGTTCCAAGCTGTGCAAACCAAGCCGGATAAGACGAGAACCTCGCAATTCTTGCTTAGGCGTCACCGCATAAAGCTGCTCCCTCCTTCAATCGACGGGAACAGTCAATCAACTCATACTTTTAATTAATCGGTGCAGTCAATCGTCCTGTCTCCTGTGGCCGGGTCCCATTCCCAGCCTTCCTCACTTGCACGGTGCCAACCAAGCGGTCTTTGCTACGCCTGCTTCCAACATCAGGACAATGCCGAAAACCACATATGCTCAAGATATGACCTGCGCAGTCCGACGTTGCAAGTTGCGCCTCGGAGAATCTGACCATGTCTGATGCCGAGGTGGCTGGGCGACATTGAGTCTTCGGGTCGGCCCCGTACCACTTGATTCCCACAACTCCGGTTTCCAAGCACATACGACCATAGCCACTAGAGAACACGGGATCCCGTCCGCTCTCCCATAGTTAAACTAGTGAGCGCTGGATTAGTAGTTGGGTCGGTGACGACCAGCGAATCCCCGGTGTTGTATGTTTTTGTTTTTTTTATTGCCCGGAGGAATGATTTTTGATTGATATTCTGGGGTTGGAACATGGGGAGACACGGACGACTGGGGTTGAAGGCTTGGCTATGAAAATTGATTGGATGAGATCGTTTCGCGAGGAGATCCGTCTTTCCGAGAAAATACAGCGAATAGCAGGGCGCAGACACTGCGCTAGCAATCTCTTGTCGTCACAGTGCCCAGTTGTCCAAGAACGCTTCCCGTGGCTGTGGGACAACGACGGCCGGATCGTTGGTGACGAATCGTTGACGGGAAGACGTCAATCCGTCGAGGGCCGCTGATCGCATTGGAGGCGTTACGGGGACCGGCATGAAGAGGCCATGCTGTCAGGCACACGACAGCAATGCAACCCCGCTGATAGAGCAAGTTGGCGTTGCCGTGGGTGAACTGGCACCGGGCTGCATTGCGACGGATGAGGTGATCCACGAGTCTCCCACGAGACAGGTGGGGCATACATCTCTTACCAATCCGTCGTCTTTCCCAGATCGTTCGCTGCGGACAGCAAATGACTATCGTCAACTGTCGGATACGGAGGAATTCAAGACCTTTTGTCATACCTAGGTATCTGCCCAACGGTGCCGAGGACCGACCTGGTGCCCAGGCAGGCACCTAACCTGACGCGCCGGATCGGATCTCGAAATCAAATCTGGGCGGCTCCTCCTGGGAAAAAGCGGGGTCACGTGGCCTTATCGTGGGCCTTGCTCCAATCTCGTTCGTCCGCACAAAGTCACCTGCACGCTCCCACCCCTTCCCACTCGTCCCAGTGTTCCCACGCCCAAGTTGGTCCGTGCCTCCCGTGCCTTCTCCGCCGTGTCCTCCTCGCACCTGGCCGCCTGCTGCCTCCGCCCACGCCCGCCCGCCCGCCTCACCTCATTTACCTGGCCCGTTCTCCATTTCCGACACGCACGCCTCTTGCTCCTTCAACCAACCCTTCGCCGAACGGCACCTTTTCTTCCCACCCCCATCCCCCCCAATCCCGCCCGGCGTCTTCATCGTCTCTTTCCAGCGACAATCCATACCGGATCCTAGTCTTTCAGTCAATCGAGCATCGAGAGATGAGTAGTCGCGGTGGTAAATTAGCCCCAGAAGTGAACCGGTACGTCGAATTTCTCTTCCAACGTCCACCCAGGCCGCCCGCCCGCCCATCCGCCGAGCGCCATGCCGGCCGCGAGCCCATCGCACCGCACCGAGCCTCCCCCGACCCCAACCCTCCTCCATCCCAACCCGTCCCATATCGTCATCATCAATACTGTCGCGTGCTACTTGTACTTGCGACGCCCGATGTGGTTGAGCAATGGCTGACTTGATTCACAGAGCTCTGTTCGTGAAGAACTTGAGGTGAATACCCTTCTCCGACCTCCGGCGCCACCACCTCGGCCGACAATGCACAGTACTGACCTTCCATCGCAGCTACAACGTAACTCCAGAGGAGTTGTTCGACCTGTTCGGAAAGTTTGGCCCAATCCGGTACATACCCTCCTTCCAACCACAGCCTGGTCTGCCGTCGCGCAAGGGCTCGTGGCATCCTTCACGTCAACCGCCTGCTGACCCTCCTACAGACAGGTCCGTCAGGGCATCGCCAACAACACCAAAGGCACGGCCTTCGTTGTCTATGAAGACGTCATGGATGCCAAGCAGGCTTGCGACAAGCTGAACGGCTTCAACTTCCAGAACCGTTACCTCGTCGGTATGTATTTGACCTGCTGACGTCCACGTCCCACCCTACCATCCACTAACCTTCCTCTCCCCTCCAGTTCTGTATCATCAGCCCGAGAAGATGCTCAAGTCGAAAGAGGACTTGGAGGCTCGCCGCGAATCGTTAGCTCAGCTCAAACAGCAGCACGGTATCGATTGACAATCCGACGGGTCTGCGGCACGCCTTCAGACCATTTCCATGACCAACAAAGCCATGGTGTCTGCAGGCCCGTCTCTTCAGTCTTCTCACAATGAGAAGTCCAACCTCGCGGCGTCGCCCAACGCGACCGAGAAGATCCTCCAAAAGGATCGCTCAAACGTCGCCGGGCATCTACGCCGAGTCGTCGTCCGTTTCGCCGACGGAGTCCGACCCAACACCACCACCCGCCAACCTCAGACGTGTGCTTGATATACCCAACTTGTATCAACACCTTGACATCGGGAGCCCTCTGCGTTCTTTCTGCCAAAACGCACATCCCGATTTTCCTTTTCCCCGGGCATCATCAATGCACAAAACACAAAAAAAATCCAGACGTCTTTGGTCGTGGCGGTTATTTGCGGTAGTTGGCGACGATTGGCAAAACTCGACATCCTTTTCTCTCTCACTCTCCACCCTTGAGAGAGTCAAGACTCTTCCCTCGCTCCACTCTCTCATGGGGCATATCACGACCTGATATGATATTTGACGACGGTGGTCAAGGGCGGAGACCCAAGATCACACAACAGACAACTCGGGGATATATCCAGTTGATTCGGGGCGTCGCGGACATGGAGTGACGGGGGCGAGGACAGCTTTTCTGCGGCCTTCTGCCCCTTTTTTCATCTTGCTTTGGACTCTTCTATTTTCAACCGGTACCTCCTCCCCAGACTTTCAGTATGCTGCTGCGCTAAGCGCATGGGGACCCGGCCGTTTCGCGTGTCGTTTGTTCTTTTTCTCGGTGGAGACGGTATGGCCCAGGCCGTGCCGACCTCTCGGATGTCGTGAATTACCCTCCTTACCAACCCTTCACTGGGGAGAAAACATGAATCGTGTACCTCTTGGAGGACACTATCACCCTCCCGTTGTTCGTCCAATGATGCGAAGTGATGTTGAACCTAGTGAGGATGATGAGCTCCATTTACGTGCTGGTTCAGGTGTTGGTAATCATCACATTGCTCACACAGCACGTCAAGTCAACCCGCGTTGATGTAAAACTTGTTTATTTCCAGTGTCCTGGACAGATACTGGACCTCGAGACAGACTCCTTGTGAACTGGCCCCTACACATCTGTCCCTTCCAGATGCAAAACGCTGGGTTCCACCCTGCCACCTCTGGTATTTTCCCATTGTGTCGTTGATCGCGTCAAAAGATATCTCCCCCTGGGCGATGAACCACGCACAGTCTGCGTGGCGCGCGAGTTGGCGCTACTCCGGTGATTTGCCACGCATGGCGCTCTAGGGCGGCCCATTCTCCCCGATGATATATTGTCTTGGCGCCGTTGAAGGAAGGCATTTAGTAGACCTTCTTCTTCTCGTCGATGCTGAACTGGCCAGGTCCGCTGTTGACGAGCAGGAGGAGGCCGCCAACGATGGAGAGGATCTGGAAGAAGTCGTACTTGGCGAAGTCCTTGTGGGGGTGGTGCTCGTGAAGCTGTGGGAAAGGAGTTAGCATTTTGTGCATGGACGCAAGGACCAGAGTTGAGAAAACTTACAGTCCAGAAGTTGTTGACGAGGAGGTTGAAGATGGACAGGATCACGACCAGAAGCGTGGCACTGAACTTGGCCTTAAAGCCAACAACAACCATGACACAGGCAACGGCACCGATCAGAGAGACGGCGACCCTCCAGGCGTTCCAGGTGCCGCTGAAGACGAAGCCAATGAAGAGGAAGATGAGGAGAACGCGACCAGCAAGCTGGAAGTACATCTTGCGGTCCTTCTCGTCAAGCTCGGGAATGCCGGCAAAAGCCTTGGACTTGCGGACGAATGAGTCGGAAAGAACCATAATCAGGCCGCCAATGACGGACAGATTGCGGAGGAAGAAGTTGATGTCGAAGATGAGGCCGTATCCCAGGGCCTGGGTGACAACAACGGCCACGAGGCCGGCAACGGCGTAGTCCGAGTACTTGCGGATGATGACGAGGATGGAGCAGGCCGTCATGACCAGGACGTTGGTGAGGAGGAAAATATGAGTGATGCCGTTGGGAACTACAGACATGGTCAGCCATCCCGTCGGCTCTTGGGAAAGGGGGCATACGCACTGCCTCGGTAGTCATTGAGATAGAGCAGCTGGTCGCTCCACTGGGTGAGGATTCGAAGCACATCTTCGAGGAAGGTAACGACGATGAGGAAGCGGCCGATGGCGGGAAGGTA